CTGAACTAAAGCCAGAGCTTTAGACTCCTTCACTTGAAGGTTTCCTTCATGAGTCATTTTAAGAGACTCAAACATATCATGCGTTGTATCTCTATTAGTGATTTTTTCATATTCTACTTTAGAGATAGCATTTAGAAAAATATTTCTAGCTCTATGATGATTTTTAAAATCAGCTTTTTGTTGTCTATCCATATTTTTTCTGCCAACTTTGTTTCCTTCTGAGTCAGTAGGATGTGTGTAACTATCCAAGACAATATCCCATAGATCACTATCATGACCTAGAAAGAAACTTTCTAGTCTGTCTTTCCAGTACTCAAAATCTTCTCCATCAAAAACAGAAGGTTTGTTGTAACTATTGTTGTTTTGTTCAGCGGCCATTGTGTTTTCTTCTAGATCTTTTCCTGACACGGTTAAGTGTTATGCTCAGAGTCGAGCTCTGATACCAATTGAAGGGGTAAGAAAACACTTAGAAGGGGGTTGAATAAGTGATTCTTTTTCTTTTCAAAACAAAGCTCAACAATAATGGAAAGACAGGGTTATTTTTATCCTGGTTCGTTTGAACTCAAACTACTCCAGTCCACCTTTCTCAACAAGGACTTAATCCACTATAATCAACTGATTACAAAACACACAACAACTGTTGTGACTAACAACGCACAAGTAATCTTACAAGTGACTAACACCACTAAGACTTAAATCTAGTCCTAGTCTGCTTAAGAAATCTGACCAAACTTGGTCTCTCAAGGAACAATTACAAGAGTTTAATCTTATAGATAGTGAAATAAAATTTGCTTCTAATCAAGCTATATCACAACTGTGATTTTTCACTTAGAATAAATTGCACAAAGTGTATGAATAAAGAGTTTGTGAGCCCAGAATTTTTCACGTAGTTTCTTGCTTCTTTTTGAAATTGATTAGTTAGTTGGCTTGCAATAAATGTCCTTCTATATATATATAGTAAGAACAAAATGACCGTTGCTGCCTTCAAAAAGTGGAGAGCATTAAATGCTTGCGTGTTTCTTTGCACTATTCCATTTTCCAAGAACTAGCGTAGACACTTGAGTGCATGCAGCCGTCTTTACATTAAATGAGCAAACGGCACTTGTAAGAATATGTTTCCTGAAGCTTGACAAGACAAGTTGGCTTTTACATTCTTTCAGAACTTGCTTCAACGTCTTGTATTCAGAACGTGCTTGCTTAACTTCTAAACAATGCTTTGCTTGCTAAGAACTTGATCAGCGCTTGCTTTCAAATAAGCTTCTGAACAGCACTTGCTTTCAAGTAAACTTCTGAACAAGGAATCCTGCTAAGTGTTAGAAGATGCATTTAAAAATAATTGTCTTACCAGATTCAGCAATAGCAGTTGCGCTTAAAGCAAATAGTTCTTTCATCAAAGAACTTCTTCATTAATTTTTAGCTCAACACATCAAAATGTTTCTGTCAGAACATTATCTGAAACATTCAAATACGTTCATCAGAGTATAAATTATCTAAAATATAATTTATTGTTATCATCAAAACTTTGAGATAGATCAGAATCAATCTTGTTCTAACACCCATGCCTCTGATGGAAACCTTTGGCTACCAACCTGACCTAAATACCCACTTGCAGCCAATAACATTCTTGTTGGGGGGTAAAGGCACAAGAGACCATGTGACATTTTTCTGTAAGGCATCAAATTCATCTTGTATGGTTGCCTTCCAATGCAAATCAGCAAGAGCCTGTTTAACATATTTAGGCTCGAAGTGAGTAAGAAGCACCCTAGGATCCAGTCTAGGCTGAGAGAATCCAGATTTGGCCCTAGTTATCATAGGATGAGAGTTTTGAGGGATAACAGACACAAGAATAGCATTAGGGGGCACATGTGGTTCAGAATCAGTGTCTGAAGATGAGCTGAATAAAGGGTCAGCCGGACTAGAGAAAGATGAGAGTGTCTCTGAAGAGTTGCTGGCAGCAATAGGTGAAGGAGCTGCAGAACTACCAGCTGGTGATGAATCCTTAGGGCTAGAAGGGACGTAGGTGGGAGCATGAACAGATGAGGTAGTAGGAGAGGCAGGTTGGAGATCATTTGAAGAATTAGGGATAAGAGATTGTGAAGAATTGATGTGAGGAGTAAGAGCACTCAAAAGGGGGCTAGAGTAATGGGGTGCCAAGGATGTACTGGGGCTGGAAATAACACTGGGTCTGGAAGAAAATAAATCTAGATATGGAAACCTAGACTCATTAAATAGAACATCCTTTGAGATGTATAACCTGCCATTAGGAGCCAGACACCTATAGCCTTTGTGAGAGGTGGAATATCCAAGAAAGAGGCATTCTTGAGATCTGAAGTTAAGTTTCTGAGAAAGATAAGGTCTCAAGAGAGGAAAACAAGCACACCCAAAGACTTTCAGAAACTTGTAACCAGGCTGCCGATGGAATAGAAGAGTGTAAGGAACCTCAAAATGAATGGAAGCAGACGGCAGCCTGTTAATAAGATATACAGCAGTGGAGAAGGCATAGTCCCAATATGTTAAGGGAAGGGAACCCTGACTAAGCAAAGTAAGCCCTAAGTCCACTATGTGCATGTGTTTTCTTTCAATGACACCATTCTGGTGGTGTGTATGTGGATAGATAATACGATGGTTAATACCCATCTCAGTTAGATATTTAGTAAATGGCCTGAATTCACCCCCCAGTCAGACTGAACAGTTTTAATACGTGACTCGTGTTGCAGTTCAACCAACGCTTTAAACTTTTGAAAAACAGAAATGGCTTCAGACTTAGCTTTAAGAAGATAGATCCAAGTAAACTTGGAATAAGCATCCACAAAGGACATGTAATACAAAAAACCAGATGCAGAAGCCTTGGGTGAGGGCCCCCCATAGGTCAGTATAAACAAGTTCAAGAGGTTTTGTGTAAATTGTGTGTGAAATGGGAGCATGTAACTTGTGGGATTTACCCATACAGCAAGCAGAACAGAACATATCACAAGTTTTATTATTGAACTGAACATTACAATTGTGCAAAACAAGCTTGAGAGCATGATTGTTAGGGTGTCCTAACCTAAGATGCCACATGTAAGGCAAGCTATTAGAAAGAGAAACAGTATAGCAATAGGTGCAACATTATTGGAGGAAAAACTAGAAAAATGCAACAAGGACTTAGCAGATTGTGACACATCAACAGAGGGAAACTCATAGAGTCCATCAGCTCCTACATGACCTTCAAGAAGAGTGGCATCAGACACCTGACATTTAACAAGACACTTGTCAGCTGAGAATAAAAAGTACACATGGTTATCCTTAGAAAACTGACTGACACTAAGCAGGTTCTTAGTGATAGCAGGAACATGAAGTAAGTTCTTGAGAGTGAGGTGTGTGGTAGGATGAAAGGGGGAAGGAAAAGAGCTTGAACCAGCAGACTGAATAGTCAAACCTTGTCCGTTACCAATGTAAATTTGATCATGGCCTTCAAAAGGAGTCACATGTTGTAAATTCTTTGCATCACTAGTGACATGGTATGAGGCGCCAGAATCAGGAAACCAGGAGCCAGATGGAGATGGGGAAGGATTTGCCACAAAGGTGCTTGGAGGTTGTGTAACGGCAGGAGGATAAGCATGCACCGCAGGGGGCCTGGACCACACATAAGGAGAGGCTTGAGGTGGCGCTTGAGTGTAATAGGCATGAGCACCCTGCCATTGAGGTTGCACATAGTTTGCACCAGAAGATTGGAATTGGTAGTTAAACCTGTGCCAGCACTGCAGGGCAGAATGACCAGGTTTGGAGCAAACTTGGCACTGAATATTAGAATTGGAGAATCTGCCACCTCTGCCACGGCCAAACCTACCACCACGATGACCTTTTCCACCTCTAAAAGGTTGATAATCCTGCACTTGATTAGAGTGACCAGTGTGAGCAGAGGAAGAATCAGTGACAGGTGCTGGAGACTCATCTGTTGTTGGTGGTTGAGGCACAGCATGAGTTAGGTTGAGAGAAACCAGATCTGGAATCGGCTGCTTCTTGAACTTGTTCAAGCGCAGTTCATGAGCCAATAGCAGAACTTCAACCTCATCAATGTCCATAACTCCAAATTTGCTTTCAACAACAGACACAACCGGAGCAAATTCAGCAGGCAAGCCCTCAAGAATCACATCAATGTGATGTGACACAGGAATTGGATCACCAATAGATGCAAGCACATCAACAATGGTACGGATCTTCAGCAAATAGTCTTGAACAGAAAGAGTGTCAAGTGTAAGAGCACGCAATTCAACACGGAGGTGGTGTGCCCTAGCACGAGTTTGTTTCTGAAAATAGCTGAAGAGACGATCCCACAGTTCATGAGAGTGGTTACAACCAAGCACGCGTGAGAGAATTTCACTGGAAAGTGTAGATTGAAGTCAGGACAACAGCAATTGGTCCTTCTGAATCCAGCGAGAATACGCTGGATTGACAGAGCCGGAACAACGAGCGGCATCATCAACAAATTTTGTTGGAACACGAGCGCATACCACCAGATCTGTGAGATCATGCGCATTAATGTAAGGTTCTACCTGTTGACGCCAGAGATAGAAGTTCTTTTCATCCAGCTTATGCGCAATCTTGAGCGAGAAGTGCAAGCGGCGAGAATCATCCACCATCGGTGACGAAAACGGCATTGGTTCAGGCTAAACCCTAGCGGAAGACGGAGGCGGTGGCGAAGCGATCGTAGCCATGGATCGACTCAACAATCTGATACCATATTAGAAAGAAGAGTAGAGAAGAGAAGTGTTTTCATCTTGTAACAGAATTCTATTATTCTATTTTCTGTTAGTTACAAAAGGCTCCTTGATGCTTTATATACAGCATCAAGGGTAACCTGCTATTATACGTTAGGGCACACTGAAACTTACAGCTGCCAGTCAAATATATAAAACAGAAATAGGGACTAAGCTACTTATGTATTCAATAGTCATTGATAGCCAAAAATGAGCTTATAGTCTAAAGTCCAAATAAAACTTTTACTCCAACTATCATACCATATAATAATTTTGAAGGCTTCCTCCACGCTGGAAAAAACGTGCAACTGCAAATGCAAGGTCTTCAACAGGTCTATGAGGCAATCTTCCACCCCACTCTGTATACCTTCAAAAATCAATGGGAAGCAATGTAAATATTTATCACAACAAAGTCAAAAAAGTTGTGAGCATAATACTTTCTACCTTTTATTAATTATCAACAGTTCAACGCACGTGCGCGCATTTCCACACACACAGAAGTATGGAATAAAAGTATATAGCCTAAACTGAAAGATTTACAAACAGTTTATATACAACATGGATTCTTAAACTTGTATATTACTTCCATTCACTATATAAATCACACACCCGCTAGTCATTTAGTTTTAGTGCACCTACAAGTACCTTCTTGATATCATAATACCTCTTTAACTATTAATAATTCCCTAAATTACGGACATCTGCATCACATATGAGCAAAGTAGACAATGGCAGAACATAACACAGAGCAGCAAGCTGCATAAAATGCTACAGTGGCAGATACTATGGCAAAGAAAGCAGAGTAAAAGTTCAATTTCTGAATTTAGTAGATAGTAATAGACATGGTTAAAGCTAGAGTTTCCATAAAGAAGTAATAGTGACTATTGGTGGTTAGTACACTAATGCAATCTGCAACAGCAGTTGCTACAGCCACTACTGGCAATCATCTGTCATATTAAAAGACAATTCCCTTTAAGGATGAGTATGTTCATACCATCCATCCCAGTTCTCTGTCCAAAAAGTTGGTTTGTTACCAGAGTTTGGTTTAAATCCATCACAGTAGTATGCATTGCATGTATCAATCTGTGGACAACAATATAATATAATCTATGAATAATAATATCGATTTAACAAACCAATTGAATCATCAGTTATTCTAGATAGTAAATATTTTAACTATGTTTCCGTTTTTGTTATTTTTTATAATAAAAAAGAGAGAACTAAACATATTTATTTTTTTATAAGTAGAGGTAAATCACATTTTTGTTTCAATAATGGAACGGGATATAATTTACAATATCATATGGAGCATCAGTTTGCCTGCACATGACCCATGGAACACCAGCACCAAGACTTAGAGCCATGTTAGCCGCCCATTTAATGTACTCTTTGCCTCCATTGCCATAAGAGCCTTCAATGTTCCCATATTCATTCTCAATCTGATAAAATTCAGTCACACACCTTATTAAACACTACATTCTACAAAGGGAAGCATCAAGTTTAACACTTGCATGTGCTAATTCCATGACAATGGAGTAAAGAATAATAAAAAAAACTACCAAACGTAAATCGTTAGGTATGTCCATAAGCTGGAGAACTAAGTGATTTGTAAATTGGGTTTATATTCAAAATACAAAACCAAGTATATAATAAGAATCGATGATTAAAACCTAACATACAATATCTATTAATATATCAATTATGAAGGAACCTTTGCTAACCATTCAGAAAGTCACACATATTTTATACATATCACCTGCTTAGGTGGCTATCAGAAACATAGTAGCAAGTTAGAAGAGAATGTCCAGAGAGTGTGATTTATCCAAAATCTGGTTGTTAAGAGTCCCACATCGGACAATATATGGCCTGAACATGTGTTTATAAGTGGGGGCAATCCTCACCCTATAAGCCGGTTTTGTAGGGTTGAATTAGGCCCAACCACATCTTAATATGGTATCAGAGCCTCGTTTAAGATCCAGATCCAGTGGACCATCCACCATTTATTTCCACGCTCCAGTTGTCTAGTCCTGGGCGTGAGGGGGTGTGTTAAGAGTCCCACATCGGACAATATATGGCCTGAACATGTGTTTATAAGTGGGGGCAATCCTCACCCTATAAGCCGGTTTTGTAGGGTTGAATTAGGCCCAACCACATCTTAATACTGGTAAAAGGTCACTCCAACCAGAAGTAACACTTACCTGAGTAGAGAAGCACAGGTGCAATAAGGTAAACAAGAATCTATATACAGTTTTCATTTTTAGTGCCTATCCTAGATACCCCAATAGGACTATGAATATCATTCAAATTATGAAAGAAAAAAAATATCCACATAAAACCCAAACTCCATACTCTCTACTAACCTGCAACAAAATTATAGGTCCTCCTTGCCAAGAAAACAGCTTTTCCTCTCTCATAAGATCCACCACCTTTGAAACAAACCGTTTCATCTCCTCCTAGATTTTGAAAAAACAAAGTCGATCAAAACCATGTTACGGAAATTCTTTTCAACTTTCAAGTCCAATAAAAAGAAGAAATATTTTAATGCAAAGGACAATTTACACACAGCTGTTCAATATCCCGTGTGATGTTATCAATCGATGAGTTCAAACCAAAAAAAAAAAAAACATGCGTAGTCAATCATAATCTAAAACTTGTAATACTGAATAGCAATAATGACCATTGACCAAAAACACAAAAGGAGAAACAAACATAAAGCTATATGTCAAAATAAATAAATAAATAAAAGAAACCAATACCAACCAAGAAAGCATTCTACCTTGAAAGGTTCATTATTTGTTCGAAATTCAATACCAGGGATATCACGCAACCACACTGGGAAACCACTGCAAACATAGCTCCCAAATCAATAAATAATTTTTGAAATTATAACTATATTTTGTAGAAAATTAAGCATTTCTATAAAGAAATAAGTAAACCACGGGTGAAGATTAGATAACCTTAAGAGTTGAAAAAATTAAACAACTTAAACATAAACAAAACAAATGGAACAGATGAAAACAGGAGTGTCGTAGGATGCCAAATCTTAAAATCCTAGGCATATTTTTTCTAAATAGAGAAATAAGATAGATCTAAAACTACAAGTATTGTGCATATTTACATTTACATTAACACCTTTGTGCAATGTTTGTGCATATTTTTTTAGTACAAAGCAGGAATTTTTTTATTTCAGTTTTTCTTTAAAAAAAAAAAAAAGAACTTTCAGAATACAGCCACTTTAGTCCTTTGTTTATGAAGAATAAACTTAAAACTGATTCTCACTTTAGAAAGTTGCAGTTGAAATTACAACTCCAAAAGTTAAACAAGGTGAGATGACTCCACAAGAGTTAATGTACAACTTGCACAATTCATTGTGCTGATGTATTGATACTCTAAGTTCTTAAAACTTGATCTGAGTCCATTTTATTTTGTTTTCCACAAAGTTGGAATTATTTATGTGTATGTATTCTTTTCATCAATAATTTAGTCTATAACCAAAAACTTGACTCCCTTTCAATTTGACGTGCATAAAAAAACAAGAAAGAAATTGGAAATGGAAATGTCGATTCTTTTAATGAACGGAAATGTAAAATTTAGGCAATAAGAAATTGTAAGATAATGACGAGAAAAAGCAGAGACCCGAAGTTCCACTCAGCACATGCATAAGGGCCTATACGGAGAAAGAAATAGAGTCCATTGGATGCAACAAGCTTTGCAAACTTCACGAGATCATATCTCCCTTCAAAATTATACTGCACATTCAAGCATATAAAACACAACGAAAATGAAATTCAGGTAATGAGAAATAAATATCAAACATTCAGTCGAAGCAAGAAGATAAGGCTATCGGCCAAGATCTCAAAACGAAAAACATAAACGTTCACCTGTCCTCTAACAGGCTCATGTCCATTCCAAAAAACATAAGTTTCAATTACATCCGCCCCACCTTCCTTGGTCTTTGCAATCAGATCAGGCCACATCTAAAATGACATAAAATCAAATTCCAGAAAGTAAACATCACAAACTTGATAATATCCATAACATAAACACAATAAATTGCCAGGTAAAAACACAGTGGTTTGCATATTGTATTTCTAACACATAGTTCTAAAGGCTCTTGTATTAGATCCCAAACCGATTGCAAATTAAGAAACATGCAAACCTAAAATGTTTAGACTAGGTGAAACAAACCATCCCTAACAATTACTATTTCATTTCACAGGTCAAATTAGAATAAACAACTCAATTAAGCACATAAGTGCTTCTCTATAAGCTATTTCTACAACTCAAAACAGCTTATAATCAAGTCACGAGTTTTCCATAAGCTCTCGCAAACAAGAAATACTAAATTGACGAAAGAAACGGAACCTCGGGAGTGGAGCGGGGATAGTGAATTCCGGCGGAGATAAGAAACCGACGGTGACCGTCGAGGATGAGAGCACGGTGATCGTAACTGACATTGAACGGTTTGAACCACTCCGATGCTCCCAGTGAAATCGATGATACGAAAATACAAACACAAAGCCGTGCGAATACTCCTCCTCCTCCTCCTCCTAACGATAACATCTTTGATATGAACTGAATTTTGGATGTTGCAATTACACTGATTTACTTCTGGTTCTACTGAATTGCTTCAATTTGCATTTTCAACCAACCACTGGGAATTAACCAAAACTTCACTCTACCGTTTCTTTCTCATTTGTTGCTCTTATTTTCTTCTTACTATTCTATTCAAGACAAAACGATCAACAAGAACTCTTATTTTATTCGTACAAACTCTTATTTATTATTCTTTCCTATGTTATTTTTTTAACTTACACTAAATGATACCAATATCTAATGAGTGGTGTGGTGTGTGTATATGCCAAATCATGAAGATAATTTAAATTATTAAATATATTTTTGTCCCCTATTTGAATTTTGACCTCTAATTTAAAGTTAACTGATTCTCCATTTAATTATTTTGATGATTTTTTGCGCCTCAATTTTTTTGATATGGCAATGAAGAAGAATTGATGAGTGTGATAAAAATTAAATAATATTACTAATTAATATTCATGTTATATGTTTTATAATTAAATTATTTTAATATATTATAATTTATTTTATTGATAAATTAAAATATTAAAAATAAGTTAAAAAATATTATTTATAACTTTCATCTTCACATCTATCTTCTTTTTTTAATTTATTCATTTAATAAAAATAAACAAAATCGAACTAGATTTTTTTAAGTCTAAGTATGTCCTATTAAAAATATCAAAATTTAAATCGTAATCTTTTATAAATTTATTTTTAATCTAAATATAATTTTTTGAAGGTCTGATTAATCTGTTTGACTATTTAAAAACATATTTATTTAAACATATTACATAAATAAATAATTTAATTAATATTTATATAGACAAAAACCTAAAAGATCAATGATACTAAAAGTTTATTTAGATTGATTTAACTGAACTTATTTAATAGCATAAATATTGTGAAATTATTTATTTATTGAAATTTATAAAAATAATTTATGATATTGTCAATAATATATTTTCAACCTACTTTTATAAATTTTTCCGAATAATTAAATTTTATACATAATATTTTAATAATAAATATAATAATAATAATAATAATAATAATAAAACTATGGCTTAAATAGTATTTTGGATTTGGTAAGTTAGCTATATTTTATTTTTGGTCCAAGCTCATATATCTCACATTCTTGTTGGTATTAATTTCTGATGTTAATGATATGATATGTTTCAAAAATACTTAAGTGGCTAACGGTTAATCAGTTGGCATACCTTTTTTTTTATATATTTCACGTAGACTAACTTTTTCGTTTTGGTCAAAAAAATAATCTCAAAAGATTCAAACTTGAGACAAGTTACTCCCAACAATATTTTCTTACCACCAAGTCATTAGTCTTGCTTGTTAAATATGTGCAATGTATTGTAAATAATGAATGTTATTTATATATTCTCAATATTCAATTTAATTGTTTTTTAATTATCTTATTTTAACTATTGTTGTTTATACTTTTTTAATATTTTATTTTATTTTTTTAATTAACTGTTATTTATACTTTTCAAAATTCTATTTATAAAAATAGAATTTAATATTACGAAAATATTAAAAATTGAAATATAATAAATAATAAAAATTGAAAAATAAATGAATAAAGTATAGTGCAATTGTGTTTTAGTTTTTGTTATATCATAATATATTAAAAGTTTGAAATATTTTAATTATTATTTAATTAATATTATGTTATTACTAAAAATTTAAATATTTAATAATTAATATACTAATTCAATAGTATTTAATATTATGAAATTATTATTTAATAATTAATACATTAGTTATAAATATATTATTTTAGTTAAAAATATATTAACACATTAATTATAACTATATTATTTTAGCTAAAATATTAAGAGTTAAAATATTAAATAGTAAAACTATTAATTTAATAGTTAAAATAATATAAATATTTAAAAAAAATAAGTATTTAACAAATTAAATATTTAAAATATTAATAACTGAAATATTAATAATTGAATATTAATATTTAAAATGTTAATAGTTTAAATATTAATAATTAAAAAATTAAATAGTAAAAAAATTAATTCAGTAATTAAAATAATATGAAATAATTATTCAATATATGATAATTGAAATATTTAATAAACTATTTCAATATTTTATTAATTAAATTATTTAATAAAAAACTATTTAAAAACCAATTTACTACTATATTAATCTTTTAACTATTAAATTTATCATTTATTGTTAAAAATCCAATCACACTTTAAAAATATGTTTAAATATTTTAAAACCTATCATTATCATTTAAAATTATTATTTAACATTTTAAATAAAACCTAACATTAATATATATAAGTCAATTTGCTACTAATACAATAAATATCCTTTTATATATATATATATATATATATATATATATATATATATATATATATATATATATATATATATATATATATATATATATATATATATATATATATATATATATATATATATATATATATATATATATATATATGTGTGTGTGTGTTTTTTTTTTGTAATTATTGAACAAGAAACAGGAATGGTTTAGAGGATATTCGTACATGTGTTTAGTATAATATAGAGGGTTTGAATTCTCACAAGACTAATTTTTAGAAATTTTGATTTTTTAACATTTAACACTTAAATATTTAAATAATATTAAATTTGTTTATGTGAAATATATCTTAAATAAAAAAACAAAAAGAATGTCAACTCATCAATCGTTAGCCACCTAAACATTTTTGAAACTGATCATTGACGTCAGAGACCAACGCCAACAAAAATATGACATATAAGGACTTGGACAAAAAAAAGAAGATATAGGAACTAAAATAAAAAACGTACTAACTTACAAGAATCAAAACACTATTTAAACCTAAAATTATTCATATTTATTTAAATGACGTTCCACCTCTTATTTCCACTCTTTTCTATTCTTTTAAATCACATTTTTTAATGTGGTAAAAAAATCACATTTTTATAGAAACTAAACTGATATATTAAACACCAAAAAAACTCTTTCAACACAAAAAGTACTAGAAGAACTACAAAAGTATAATTACACTAATAATCCGAACAAATACGCAACAACGAAGCAACAACAAAGAAACAAAACCCAAAACTATAAGACAGTAACTATAATACACTGCATATGATTTAACTTCCAACTCTGATAATCAAAAGAAAGCGACTGGAAGTAAGATTTCAACCACTAGAAAGATTAAATCTTAACCTTTTCATAGATAGAAATCAACTGATGACTATTGTTCTCAAAAATTCGTTAATTCTGCACTTGTCAAATGATCCACTCAACTGCTACACAAATAATGTGAAAGGTGTTACTGTATGATTTTTACCAACCACCCAATTTCACAAAGTGATCATGATGCTCCTGAATATGGCCCTGAAAAGCCGATGAAAACCCTAACCAACCAGACATCATCGACCAAATTTTACCATAAAAACCACAACAAACAAAAATATGATCTTTGTCCTCATACAGCCCACACTATGTTATACAGTTTTGCTCCTCAACACTAATAATTTGTCGCCTAACCAAATTATCCTTTGTCGGTAACTTATTCTGGTATAATCGCTAAACAAAAAAATTAATCTTTAGTGGCACCACTTTAGACCACCAAACATGAGAATCATCGTATTATTTTGTATTTGCCGACTTCTTCAAAAAATTATATGCACTGCTAACATTATACTGGTTTGAAGAATGAAGTATCCACACCCAAGTATCATCAACTGCGTCCTGCAAAACAGAAGAATCTAACAACCGAATACACTCTTTAACCAACTCTTCCTCACACGCAAAAAACCTCTTACGCCACCTCCAAGCCTCTCCGTCGACCCCCACCCTAAAACAAACATCTCTGCTATTGTCGCACCCTTATTCTCTGATAACTCATAGAGCCTTTGGAATCTGGCCATTAACAACCCTCCATTCAACCAATGATCCCTCCAAAACAGAGAGTCTATCCCATTGCCTACCGATCTCTCAATGTTATCAACCAGCCACCCTCTTTTTATCATCCCACTACCTTACCTAATTATATTCACGTTCTGCCACCAAACAGACCCTCCTTCTATCCCAAACCTCAACCTCACCCCTTCCTTGCCATAACGTTGATCTAAAACCCTATACCAAAGACTTCCCCTCTCCTCCAACACCCTTCAAAGCCAATTCCACAAAAGAGCGTCATTAAACTCTCGAAACCTTCTCACCCCGAAACCACCATTCTCCTTACTCTTACGAATAGTATCACAATCAATCCATGTTATTTTCTTATTACCTTCCATACCTTCCTAAAAATGTATTAAATAAATATTCAAGGGAAGAAATAATATCTGCAAGAGCCTTGAAGAAAGAAAATAAACCGGGATAGAGAACATAACAGACTTCAACAGAACTAAACGACCCCTAAAGATAGATTACATTTCTTTGATGTTTTAATGCTAGTCTATTTGTCTTATTCATTCAACAAATATCAAAATTTATTAATTTATCCTTTTTTTTCAAACCCATTTTAGAATGTTTCCATGATATTGATGGTGTTGCTAACCTTCTATTTTTGGGTGAATGTGATAGAGATGAGGTTGGAAATGAAACATAGAAAATAAATCTTAAAAAAAACAGAAAAACTCACAAATATTAATATTTGCAGAAAAAATGAATTTCATTTAAAAATGAAAAACTATTAAAGCTTAAAATATAACAAATTCAAATATCAGATTACCCAAGTCTAAGATTTTATTGAAAAAAATTGACAAATTTATTTCTTAAATTTAAAGAAAAATAAATAAATAAATAAATAAATATGCTTAAATGTATTTTTATTTTCTATTTAAATGTTTTTTAAAATTTTATTTGTATAAATATTAAACTTTCTTATAGTAAAAATAATATGGGACTTCAACTCTAAGAGGAAAATATTTTACCAACAACAATCTTTATGATTGATTCCCTTGCATATATGTTTTGTTCCACA